GACGGGAAAAAAGTGACGAGTTTGGCAACGCCGCCACGCCTCACCTCAGATCAGCGCGCTTCTGCTGTTCCCTTTCGACGACGAAACTCAAAGCGAAATAGTTGTTCGGCAAAGCGTCAACAGGCCCGACCAGCTCCTGCAAAGAACATATGCGGAAAAAATTAACACTCAAAATAGGAGAACTGACAATACCAATCGGCAACTTTGACCCGTTTCGCGTTTGTCCGTAAGGGCCCTTACGGGACTAAGGGGCCTGTTCTGTTAAGGGGGCACACCAGTGAAAATGGAGATGTGTCGTAAATCAGTCATTCTGAGAAAAGTTACAAACCTATTGGCTTGAAATTTTAGTTTAAACTTAAAAACATAATAAATTAAAAGAAAAGTCCCCTCTAAGCGCACTGTGGCAAAAAGCTACGGAAAATTCTGTAAGCAGCTTGTGGTAATTCTCCGTAGCCCCCTTGTCAGTATTCTCCGTAGGCTCTTACAGTATTTTACGTAGGACCGGCACAGTGTTATCCGTAGGACTATACAGTCTTCCAGGTCCTACGGAGAAGACTGTGCGGTCCTACGGAGAATACTGTATGGCACTACGGGGATTACTGTAAGAGCCTACGGAGAATATTGATAAGATGGCTGCGGAGAATCCTAGCAAAAAAATTAACAGAATTTTCTGTACCTTTTTGCCACCATACATACTGAAGTTTGTATAGGTTTTTGGTTACGGTTTTAAAAATTGTTTTCCTTGCACACTAAACTTTTTACGGATACATCCTATCTGTATTACTTTATTATCTGTATTACTTTATTATCTGTATTACAAGCAAAATCAATCCGTAATTGCAATTGCACAAAAATGTCCGTAATACAGATAGGATGTATCCGTAAGAAGTTTAGTGTGCGGGCTTTAGGGACGATTGTAGAGTAAAGTAAAGAGCACTTTTTCATCTTTAAGATGCCGCAAACCGATTGCCAAAAAGTTAAGAACTTCCAGGGAGAGTTACTTACGCGCAGTGAAATTTTGTATGTTTTGTCGGCTTTTGTTGTTGTATTCCCTATAACTCCCTTACAACTGGAGACAAAACAAAATATTTTTTTGAAAATGTTGTAAAAATTCCGTTTAAGAGGGGGGAAAACCCCCTTAAAAAGATTCCAGGGACGAGACTGCCCCCGTATGACATATTTGAGTTCGGTTTGCGCACAAAATAGTATTCGCTTTTCCAACTGCGTTTGGGTGGTTCGAGGGTTTTATCATTGAACTCCAAGTGAAGCACCTGAACGTTAACAATTGGGGTAAAATATGCAAAACCAGTTACCTTTTAAGGAACTTCAAAAATGTGCACAAGCCAAACACTCAAGACTCCTTACACGGCAAAATTACCGCCTGGGATTCCCAGGCGCATCATGGGGAAAAGGGCCTATTTTCCAGGCACCGCCTGGGAATCCCAGGCGGTACTTTTGCCGTGTACGGATCCGCAATACGGACGGTTTGGTGCAAGCGTAATTACGGATGGATTTTGGTTGTAATACGGATGATTTAATCCGTAATACAAAGGTTTTCGTGTCCGTAACATACAGACGAAAATATCTGTATGGAACGGACGTAAAACTCTTTGTAATACGGATGATTTCATCCGTATTACAAGCAAAATCTATCCGTAATTGCAATTGCACAAAAATGTCCGTAATACAGATAGGATGTATCCGTAAGAAGTTTAGTGTGAAGTTATTGGAATTATGAGGTGGAGTTTGCCGCGTTCGACTTGGGATGAATAGCAGAAAAATAAGATAAACTAAAATGGAAGGCCAAAATTTGCCGATTTTTACTGGTGTGCGTGCCCCCTTAACCTTGTTCTGGGTCAGAACGGATGTAATTATTGCCATCAGCACCCTCGTTAACAACTCAAAACTTAAACAAAACAAAATCGGTCGTTAAATTTTCCCCCCCAGAATTTTTTAAAGCCCCTTCAAACTAAAAACCGATTTTAAAAAACCCACTTGTTTTTTGAATTTTTTTAACCAAAAACAAAATTTTTCTTTTTTTAAAAATTTCTTCCGCCAGGTTTAAAAAGCCGGGTCAAACTAAAAGACGAGTTTATAAACTGCGCACTGCCGTGTCAATTTTCTGCATTTTACCAAAATTAAATACATGGGCTTTTCTAATTTTAGCTTTTTTTTTCGCGGGCTGGAACCATTTTTCATCCAAATATCTCATGTAAACAAATGTATAATTCGAAATTCGGGATTTTTCAAGCAAACTAACACCGTGACCGTGCTACTGAGTTCAACTTACCCGTCGACACTCCGGACACCGGAGATTCTTCAACTCCTTGAGGCACTTGAGGCATTCCGTGTGGCCGCAGGGGAGGCACTTGGGCAGCCTCTCCCCGTTATCGAACCTCTCCAAGCAAATGTTGCAACGCAACGACATGGCGACGCCAGAAGAAAAGAAAACAGCGGTCAGGATCACTGCAACACTGTTCCAAGAAGTTTTAAATTTACACCTTGAAGTGTCACAAAGTGTGTTACTATTTTACGACGCAAGTATCCTAATTTTACATAGATAAATTTTTAAAGTAAAGTAGTACAAAATTAACATTGTTTTTCTTTTGAACGTACAAAAGTAATAATAGTTAGTTGTCTGGTAGAAAATGGCAGAAATGCTTTAGCTGAGCTCGCGAATTTCACTAATCATACGTGTATTTACGAGAAACACCGGCTAATTATGCAACAGTAACTGATCTGAAAATTACATCTACTTACAAGTAGTTGTAAATGAATTGCAACCCCGATTTTACATTGATAATAGTTGTTATTACGCAAAGTCGTAGCTTTTCAGAGAAAACTCCGCACACTGAGAATCCAAACGCTATAAGTATAGCGTCAATTGGTGCAATGCAAAAGCATTGCACATGAAGTGCAATGCCTCCCCATTCCCATGCATTAGCATAGGGCATTTTCGGGATGCATTGCACGTAAGGTGCAATATGTCTGAGGCATTGCACGTATGGTGCGATATCTCAGCTGTATTGCACCATACGTGCTATACTCATAGCGTTTGGAATCTCAGTGCACCTTTCGAAGAAAGAAACAGCTCTTGGTTAATTTGAAATTCAAATGGTTTAATGTAAAACGTCATTTTCGGCATGATGTTCACATGTATTTACAGGAACACCTAGTAGAATTACAACACAGTTGAGTTGCGGAATTAACTAGTTGGCTGAGCGATTGCGAAGCCCGTTACTCAGGTGGGGTACCTGAACGCCTTGGTCCCTTTGACTGAGAATTTGCAGGGTAGTTAGGTATGTCTTTGACTCACTATACACCAAACTTCAGCTTTCTATCTCCATGCATGTGGTCATACCCTCCAAAAAAGACTATAAAAGCGGCAGAAAAAGGCAATCTTTACATGAGCGGGTTCGGCCATAGTGGTGCTAGCACGGCCAGTGACGGATCAAGAGTCGGCTCGGGGGGGGGGAGGCAAGTAGCACTTTTTGCCTACTTACAGGGGCAAATTGGTGCTTTTTGCCGGCTATCTTGGGGTCAGGGGGGGGGGGCAATTGTCCAAGCAGGAAGCGCTGCAGGGCAAGGTACACAGAAAATGTCTTACGGTGAAAGGCTGCACCAACATATTATGGTGGAGATTTTCTCCATAATACCAACGAAATTCGTCAAAATCTCTATAAGGTACAGTGAATTCTCAATGGTATGTTACGAAGTCAGCTGCACCACCATAATATGGAGCATTTTCACCATAATATGGAGAACCTTCACAGTAGAACATTTAGAGTGTAGGTGGAATGCCAGGCGTGGATTGTCGTATGGTCGACTGGCGCAGCAGCACGCATCCTAAAACAACAAGACACGGTCTGGCGTACACCTACCTTGTATTTGTTTGCAAAATAACAATTTGATCAAAGACAGTTTTCACCGGCAACTACACTTGGGGACGTATGAACGGGGGATGAGAGTGCAGGCAAGTGCCGAAACGAACTTACAACGATGCAGTCTTCCCCTTAGAGACTTTCCCGGGAGGACTCGGATGACCAGGGAAGACGCCTACTTGGGAGCCGTCCTCAACTGCATTACGCACTTTTGACCTGTTACGGAGCGTTATCGCACAAAAAGCTTAGCCTGGAAAGGTCTATAACCACAGCTTTTGATGCCGGCAAAATGGCACTTATTTGACCACATCATTCGGTGCGGTGACTACGTCTGGTTATTCGGTGTACAGGGGTGTCCATTGTACTCACAAGAGTCCTTGGTGTCCGGGCGCTCCTCTTGGCCGGTCTGCGGGAACGACCTTCAGGTTGCACCGGCGCCACTGCCACACCAAGCAATCGCAGTCGCAGCGAGAGAACACCAAGCGCCTCCAGCCGTCGTCCGTCGCCACTGCACCACCAACACTGCACACTGCACTACCTGCGCACGCGGGATGATGGGGAGAGCCAGGGTTGCCAGACCCTGAGTACGCCAGTGCGCCACCAGAGCGCACTCCGAGCGCCACTGAGTGCCACGGAGGCCAAGTCGCCACAGATCCACTGAGAATCCAAACGCTATGAGTATAGCGTCAATTGGTGCAATGCAAAAGCATTGCACATGAAGTGCAATGCCTCCCCATTCCCATGCATTAGCATAGGGCATTTTCGGGATGCATTGCACGTAAGGTGCAATATGTCTGACGCATTGCACGTATGGTGCGATATCTCAGCTGTATTGCACCATACGTGCTATACTCATAGCGTTTGGAATCTCAGTGTCGCCACCGGAGCGCTCAAGTCGCCACTCTGGCGCAACAGGTCACAGGTCGCACTAGATCGCCAGCAAGGCGCCACTGACGTCACCCATTTTGGCGCGCAGGTCGCATCCATGCAACAAGCACCAATCTCAACTTTGTATCATCAACAACAACTTACCTAAACTTGGTCCCGTCAACAATAAGGTGGGCCGTGAAACACGATTTCCGGTGCATTTGTGTTTTCGAGGGATCGAAGTGGATCCAGCGAAATAGTCTCTTCGAAAATTCCATTTTTACCGGGTTTGCTAAAAACAGCCACAGAAACTGAACCAGATGTCCAAATGATGTTTCCGAGACGGAAATGGAAACGTCTGATCATGCTTTATCAGTTAAAGAACACCGGGACCCTATCCGAGCAGTACTAGGGGATCGATGGGAGAAAAATATGGTTTTTCATCGTAAGGTAACGCATAAATTTGCACATACGTCATATGCTTAATTTTTAATCGTATTACGCATGAATTTTATTGTAGTACGTATGTTCTCATTTCAACGTATGTTACGATGGCCCTTTCATCATAAGAATCTGAGGGTGTTCCAAATTGCAAAAAGTTCCTTCAGTTTGACACGGCCGTCCTGACGTCATCGTACCCGAACCATACCCCGAATCATAAAACAACGATTTCAAGAAATCCTAGGAGTCACGAAGTCAATTTGATTATTGTGTAAGAGTGTGGAGAAAGAAAAGAAGTGGTGTTGTGAAGTTGTGGCTCAGGGGACTACCAATGGCAGTGGTACCAATGTGGTCGATGTGCCACCCGTCGAAATTTAAACTTGACAATAGAAATCAAAATGCTGGTAAATTAAAAAAATTCCAATGCTAATGTATTCCGCAGTGTTCTAACAATGGAACATCTTTAAAGTCCATTATTATTAAAATGTTCTTGGCAGAAAGAAGGCAGTAAATTAATTTTCACGGGTTGGCAACTAGTTTCTCGGCGTCTGCGCCCTTGCGAAAATCGCGAAGCTGAAAGCACCAGCAGTCGCGCATTAAAACTGCCCATCCATTGTTGCTGACGTTGAATTGTTTGGCTTGTTTCAAAAGGCTATGGTTCTCTAGTCATGTTTTCTTCGATTCTGTGTACTAGCCAGGGGAAGGCCTTCGGCCTCGATGCTGAGCTGGATTCTGCTGGAGATGGAAATGCATTTTCATCAGTAGTAAATTTGGATGTGTTTATTTTGAAAACGAGCCTCTTTTCTTTTCGGGGGGGGGGGGGGGGGGTGATAGCCAGGAAGTATGCTTTTGCGCGAAGGATTGTGATTCCGCAATGGTTGGTTTCTCCTTGAATCGACGGAAGGCTATTTATTAATCTAAAACTAAATGTTCCAACCAATCCTAACCTAACCTAACGGGCTCGTGACAGATCTTACTCTACCCGTGACAGATCTTACCCTACTCTCGACAGATCTTATTCTCAAACTAAATGGTCCAACCAATCCTAACCTAACCTAACGGGCTCGTGACAGATCTTTCTCTACTCGTGACAGATCTTTCCCTACTCTCGACCGATCTTATTCTCAAACTAAATGTTCCAACCAATCCTAACCTAACCTAACGGGCACGTGACAGATCTTACTCTACTCGTGACAGATCTTACCCTACTCTCGACAGATCTTATTCTCAAACTAAATGGTCCAACCAATCCTAACCTAACCTAACGGGCTCGTGACAGATCTTTCTCTACTCGTGACAGATCTTTCCCTACTCTCGACCGATCTTATTCTCAAACTAAATGTTCCAACCAATCCTAACCTAACCTAACGGGCACGTGACAGATCTTACTCTACTCGTAACAGATCTTACCCTACTCTCGACAGATCTTATTCTCAAACTAAATGGCAGCTTGGCGTACGACTATGGAGCTTGGACTATTGAGCTTGGACTATTGAGCTTGGACTATTGAGCTTGGACTATTGAGCTTGGACTATAGAATATGGACTATGGAGCTTAGACTATGGAGCTTGGACTATGGAGCTTGGACTATGGAGCTTGGACTATGGAGCTTGGACTATAGAGCTTGGACTATAGAGCTTGGACTATAGAGCTTGGACTATAGAGCTTGGACTATGGAGCTTGGACTATGGAGCTTCGACTATGTATACGCATATGAATATAGTAAAAATAAACAGAGGAAGATACCTCTTGTAAACTAAAGGTATGGGGGGGGGGGGGTCGGACAAATGAGCTATTCAAAATCCCAAACAGGGTGCTTCGCTTCGCTCAGCAAATAGTTCTTTCTTACAACGTATCAACACCACGACGGTTGGTTTGACAAACTTCTTAAACTCGGAAGGGATGGTTTCGAAACGCGGGTGAGTCTTGTTCGAGGAACAAGAGCACTGCAAGTCGCGAGGTGGAGCGAAGTCGTCCTAGTGCTAACTGAATCACAACAACAACAAAATTGTTTTATTGACAGAAAAAAAAGGAATATTTGAGAAACTATATGTCAGAAAAAAAGAACTTTTGTTTTGCTAATTTTCTGTGAATTTATTTTTAGAAAGTCATCACACTAAAATTGAAAATTTGTTTTATATGAATTTTCATAAGCAGGAAACAAAGAAAAAACAAGAAAGAGAGCAAAATTAAGGGGGGACCCTGGTGAAACTTTCAAGTAGGCTTCAAAATAATCCCAGGAAGTTGCAACTTTGCTTAATTATGAGGTTCATTATGGTGAGTTCCCGAAACAAAATTCAATCCAAAATGTTGAACGGTCTCTGAGAAAAGTGGCTTTTTAGTGTTTTTTGGAGCGTTGGGGAAAAATCTTCCTGCGTCTTTCATTGGGACGGAAAGTCTTGAAAATTTTTTTGGGTTATCCTAAAGATGTATTGAAGATATTGTAGTGACGGAATTTTCAAATTCAACTTCTGTCCTGAGATATGAGTTTTCAAATTTTAACATTAAAAAAAATTGATTTTTTTTCCTTTTTTCACACCTTTAGGTGTGTTTAAAAAAAAGTAGGGGTGATATCAAGATTCCGTCACTAAAATTTGTCGACAAGTCATCAATGAATAGAGTCCATGCAAGACGGCTCATGTAGGTGTCAACCAGGAACGCAGAAAGTCTTTCTACGACAAAATTTTTTGTCGACTGAGCAAAGCTGTGAAGTTGAGCGTAGAAGCCAACGACAACTGATCTCAATGTTATTTCCTTCCAAATGATAAAGAAACTACCCACTTAGCTTAAAGGTGTTCAACCTGTTGAATCTGAAACCTTCTATGCACATTTTTATCTATTAACTTGGAAAATACTATTTTTTGGAATTTTCGCGATTTTTTCACCAGGGTCCCCCCTTAATACAGATTTCAAATGCTACAGTTGGTTTAACTGTTAAACAGGTTGCAAACCTACTGCGCATGTCCAAAAACACTCCAATCAAGAAGTATTATTGGATAGTTCTACCCGAAAAATTGCGTTCGAACCGACACCAATTCTATTGTTGCATCTTGGCTACCTGCAGTCAAAGAAATTTTTCATTTCGAACGTGCTGATTTCAGCTTTTGGAGTAAGCTGTACAGACCCAAAAAGAAGCTCGGCTATTGGTCCGCCCCGGCTCGGCTCCCCCCACTCCCTTTTTTAGGGGTTCCGACGAAGGAGGACCCCTATTGCTCGGGACGGCTCAGAATTCTTCTTCTACGGACCCCCCAGAATGGACATTTCGCTCCCGCCATATTAATCCTTTTCATAATACAATAAAAAGTCCAGAAAATCTAAAAAATTTATCGTGGAAATTTTCCGTAAACGACTAAAACATAAATTTGCAACAATCAAGCACCCTTATCCGTTTACATTTTCCAGAAACGTTTCGAAGGAAAAATGTGCCACTCCTCAAAACTAAACCTCCTGCCTCATCAAAGTGACAAGAAATCGTCTGTCTTCTGAGAAAATGGGTAAAACATGAAGAAAAAATCTCCATGACAACGACACGGTGCCATCGTACCAACTGTCAAAATTTAAAGTCGCTGATAACAAGGTAGGTTTACGCCAGACCGCGTCTTGTCGTAACAGGCTTCGCGATGTCTCGCTGCCTGTTTCTCCAATCCGCGCCTGGCGTACCTACCTTGGCCTGCGGCGCTAGCCTGCCTTCGGCAGGCAATGGCTTCTCCATCTCCATCGTCGATTTTCCTAACTTGTTGCGTGCTGGGGGGCTCCGCCCCCCAGACCCCCCTTCATTCTAGACAGAGTTGCTTCATCTCCAGATAACTCGATCTTGACCCTTGTAACTTTTCCCCTTGTCCAGGCTGGGGGGCTCCGCCCCCCAGACCCCCCTTTTATCACGACAGAAGCGATCTGCCTACAGAAAACTCGATTTTTCGCCGTTTTTTAAGTGTTTTTCGGCTATAAAAACTAAACCAGTTGAGCTAGGATGATGAGGTTTCGCGTGTGCCGAGCCAAGGACATACCCAAAAAGTGTGCAAAATCTCACCGAGATCGGCCGAGCCGTTCAGGAGGAGTAGTGCGGACACACAGACACACACACACACACACGGACAGACAGACAGACAGACAGACAGACAGGAAAAAATTTTCAAACCCACTGGAGTAACAGGCTTCGCTATCGCTCAGCCAAAAAGAAATGAAAACGCCGTAAAATTCGAAAATGCCAATGCTCACTCATTGCACGGTGACCCGACATTAAAACATCTTTGAAGTCTGTCATTAGTCATTAGTTCGTAACAGAAAAGACGCAATGAATTAATTTTCGGGGGTTGGCATCAATTTTCTCGGCGTCTGCGCCCTTTCGAAAATGGTGCTACGAAGGAATGGCCCGTGCCAAAATGTCCTTTTACAAATAGGCCTTCGAATGGAAATGTCCACTTATTTCTTAGGCCTCCTTAATAAGGTCCAATACATTCCAAGTCCTTCAAAATAATGTCCGATATTTTTAAAGGCCTTTTCAATGTGAGTCCATGTAAAATAAAAAGTATACTTTCAGTTTGTATACTTTATTGTTCATCAGTTTTACTTGTCATATTTGACTAGACTGACTCTGGCGGTTTTGATTCCCTCATGTTGGATCACTCAATCAGGCTGAATTTTGAGCACACCAGCTCTATTTCGTCGCCCATGTCGCCTTTTGCCGCACTGCGCCGCCAACAACAGCTGGGTGCCGAGTCAACGGCTGCACTACAAACCTAACTGTCTACCAAGTACACAGAAATGCGTGCTTGCAAGTACACACTTACAAACGCATGCTTGGCCAAGTACACACTTACAAATGCATGCTTGCAAGTACACACTTACAA